CTTTGTTATAAATTTTTTTATCTTTCTCTATTATTTATAGTTTTGTCAGACAGAAAATTTGAGTTGACACTTATGACGTTTAAACAGCTGTACTGAAAGTGTACGCATTCTGTGTTGCCGTCTATTGTACTTGACAACCTATTTGCATTATAGTATTACGAGAAAAAGAGAAGACTAGATGCGTATAAATAAAAAAAAATTACGCAAAGTTATAGAGTGGAATTTATAATCTTGCGTACAGTATTCTATATCTTGAGTAGATTATAGTATTACGAGAAAAAGAGAAGACTAAATGCGTAGATAATAAAGATTTACGCAAAATAGAGTATGCTATATTTTGAGTATTTCAAGTATTATGAGAAGTTTAGAGGAGACGATGTAGAAAAGAGAAGATGAAGTTTTGAATAGAGAGGGCCAGATGTTCGAATAGAATTTATCTACGCAGAGTAGAGAGGAATATACTCAAGGCAGAACATACTATATGTTGAGTAGAGCTGACTACACGGAAACATGGAGTGGACTTATGTGAAATATATTTACGCTAGAGTAGAAATATATCCTTACTTAAGAAAAAGCGGGATGTCATGAAAACCATATGCTATTCAAAGTAAAGCGGGCAAATATGTACCCACTGTACTGTCGGCTCTACACCAGCGTTGACTTTTTTTACAGTGTGGGGATCTGAACATTGCAGAAATAAAAACTCTTTATAAGAAGGTGTTGGCAATAAAACAATATTTCTATTGCGATTAACCCATTCAATGTACATAGAGATATATAACTTCGTCATAACCATATTGCGATTTCTTAACTATGATATATTTAACAGCGAATAACCTGTAATTACACAGTTAAGGACCCAATTCTAATCTAAACTGAAGAAATATAACTTAGTTAATATAGAAACTCCATAATGTTTACTGTGAGAGAGAGTAATTGTTCCCTGTTTTAATCGAGCTTCCAATTGATATTTATAGCTAACGAGATCACGCCCTGTGGTAGTGGCGGTGATAGATCACGAGATTGTATCTGTGTGGTTCCCTGTTTTGATAAACACGTTAAGGATCGTCCCCTATGATTTGGGATCGATCATTACAGGATTGTAGCCGTGCGTTGACATTGAAAGTCAAGGGAATCTGAGTTGTACCTGGATTAATACTTGTTCGGGAAACTGTTATGGAGTAGTGACTTTACTATGCAGTAAATTATATCTTATTGAGTCAAATCCGTTTTTATCAGTTATTATCTTTCTTTAATAATTCCAATATACATTTTGAAAGTTGAAAATTCTATCGTGTAATGTTGTAATTTAAAACCATTGTCTTTTTATAAATTTTGGGACATTTTGTTTTGTCTTTTGTAGTTTCTCATAACTGATTATTTCCAGTAATTTAAAGTAATTTATAGGAAAATAAATTTTCTTCCCAACCCAGATATTCTTCTAATTAATTATCTTACGGTATATTACAATTGACCAGGACAAGAGCTAGGAAAGGGGGTTGGTACTGTGGAAGGTGGGGGGGTCTTCTTTACACATATGGCACGTAGTAGTGTGAAAGGGAGACATATAAGGATTGAGTAGAGGGGTAAGGGGGGGGCTTCTTATTTGAAACAGTTAGATAAGATAAGATAATATATAGTTTATTGCTAAACATACAAATACAAGTTTTAATGTTACAGGCAAAAAATCTGCAACTGTTTTTATATTGTTTACTATGTGTATGTATTGTAGCAATTTGGTGGAGATTAGCTTTCGCTGTTTTGGGTATATTATCTCCGCCTAATTGATGTTAAAACTTTTACAATATTATTAGTATTACTAGACCACAGATCAGGCCTGCACAGGCAAAAAAAAATAGAGAAAAATCTCTAAAAACAAAGCCAGTTTAAAAAATAAACGATTTTACAGTTTTAAAGTTTAGTACGTATAATAGAATAAGATTAAGCATGTACAATATAATCTATAAATATTTATATTAATATTTTTGCAAGAATAACAAGAGAGTTTATTGCACTTTGAGATGTAGGCGTTAGATTTTCTAATAAACTTTTTTTAAATATGCCTAACCAGACACCTCTTCTTAAATCAAGTGGCAACTTAATATCTTAAGAAGTGCATATGAGGGAAGATATTCTAATGAGCCTGTATTCAGAATGTAAATTTGATAGTTANGGATAGATGTATTGAGATAAGGTAGGATTTATGTATTGAGATAAGGTAGGATAGATGTATTCAGATAAGGTAAGATAGATGTATTGAGAATAAGATAGAATAGATCGTATTTAGATAAGATTGAATAGGTGTATTGAAATATGATAGGATAGATGTATTGCGATACAATAGAATAGGTGTATTAAGATAAGATAGAGTAGATGTAGATACTCAGATAAGAATAATGTATTGAAATATGATGGAAAGATGTAATGAGATAAGATAAGATACTTGTATCTTTTGATATGAATAGATGGATAGATATATTGAGATAAGATAGAATGCATGCGAATTTGATTACTACATACTAGATTTTCATTTTCAAAATGAAGCAGAAATAGATCAGATAAAGCAATATTTTCCCACACTTACCCAAAATTAGTCTTTTAAAGTTTTATTATTTTTTAAAAATTGTGAGAACTTAACTGTGCTGTGAGCATGTGATATTTGAAAGTAAACTGCAGATACACAGTAAGAGTCTAAGAAATCGGACATTTACTTTTTTTCAGATACAAATCAAAAGTGTTTTATTTGCAAATTTTTTAACTAGGCTTTTAGGGCACTTCGCGCCCATCTTCTATTTCAATTTTTAATTGTGGCTTTATCTGTGAGCATGTTCTCTTTGTACAGTATAAAACAAAAACAACAACAAAAAGTTTGCCGATTTCAGAATATTTTTTCGCGTATTTTTTAAATTTTACTAAAATAAAAAACTTTTAAACCCAATTTTTTTTTATTTTGATCATTCATAAACCTTCTCTGGGGTCACGTGAGGTCCCACGCAAAATTTGGGACTGATCGGTTTAGCTGTTTTGACGTTTATTGGATACAAACAAACAGACACCCAGACAAGCTAAATTTATGTATAGATTAGACAATTATAAATATTGTGTTTATATTTCAGGCGGAGCATCCCGGACTAACCAGAGTAAGCAGCATTCAGTTTCTTCTAATTGAAATCAAACGTGTTTTGGTCTATAATTCAACAATCTTTTACCTTACGGATTTGTTTATTCTTTCTATACTTTTTCCTTCAAAATGCATATGCCGACAAAAAAAGTATTTAAGAAAAAAAACTGAAAAATGTGTTTACTGGGTCAAATTGTGATCGAAAGTCACAGCGTTCTGGAATATTGACAGAACCGTTATATCCACGTAGGAGAAAAACAGAGGGAAATGGAAATCTATTTAACCAATTCCATTGCAGCGAATATGTTCATCTACCAAGTTCGCCCACTTCATATAACTTTGTGACCTCGTAACTCCTCTGTTTTTGATCTTACGCATATTTTTTTTAGAAAATTAAATTTTTCCTGTTTTACAGAAATTCAAAACATTTTAATAATTCTCAATCTTCAAGAAGTAGAGTTATTAATAATAACGATTTAAGATTTTAATCTTTCGTGAAATTTACTTTAGTTTGACGTGAACGGTGAATGTGCGCAAATGTGAAGTTTACTTTAGTTTGACGTGAACGGTGAATGTGCACAAATGTGAATTCTGAACTGCAAAATAATGAAACGAAGTGAGCTACTAAAGGATGTCCAAATAAAAATTGCTTAAGATCTTTAAAATCTAAAAGTTTACAGTTTAAATGTTCCTTATCTGACGTATCAATATAATTAAAGGTAACATGGTGTATGTCAGAAAATCTAGGATGAAGTGATATTTCTTAATATATTTATATGTTAACAAAATAATAGTTAATTTATATTTTTAGTTGATCATATTTATTGTTTCATGACATACTGAACATTAAACAGTTTTTTGATAATATTATATATTTCAATGCCAATATGTCTCTATTAAATAAAGCTTAAATAATTAAAGTGCTCTCCTGAATATAGTCAAAAATGGCAATATGGCAATATGGCAATATGGCAATATGGCAATATGGCAATATGGCAATATGACAATATGGCAATATGGCAACATGGCAGTATGGCAATATGGCAAGAACATCTGAAGGAAATGTTTAAAACATGTTAAACAAGACTGTAAATTGTCTTTAGTTGATTTAAAGTCATCTTCTCTCCTATATGCATTATAGTACATTTCTGTAAAAATGTGTAAACTTATATTCAAGAAAAGCGTAGTCTTTGAAAATGAGCGATTTCAGGTTATACAAATATTTTGTAAAATATTTTGTTATAGGACCAAAAATAGCTTTAATGTTGAATTTAAAAATGTTTTGTTTAAATCAGTAATGATCAATAGTTTGTGCACTTACATTAGTATTCATTTTGAAATACTGTTTTAGTTGAAATACAGATTAAAAATTTTTTGCTGCATGATGCTGTATAAAAATAAGCCAAAAAGAAGTTTACTGTATGTGTTTGTAAACGTTTAAACCCCCCAAAAAAGTGTATAAGAGAGGGGATATTTTGGTCTTGAAAACTTTTTTTAAAATACATTTTTAAAAATGCGTTTAAAGAACGCTAAACCACAGATAAAAAGGTAAATACGAAAAAATATTATGTTCTGAAAAAGTTTTTCTGAAGAAGTTTGCATGAACACGTATTTAAACGTTTAAAGCGCAAATCCAAAAGGTGTTTTGGATAGATTAAAAAATGTATTTTAAAACTAATTCAAAATATAAATGTTTTAATCAGGCAAAATAAGGATAAAGAAGTTTTTAAAAACACAATTATAAACTGATTAAATGGTTGACGATTAAACCTACAGGAGGGGTTTATTTCATCTGTTTATAAACCTCTACAGGGTATCCAAGAAAATGTTTTTATCCTTCTGTTAAACGTGTTTTTGTTCGTTGGGAGATAATAAGTAAATCTGTAAAAAAAAAAGAATTTTACATACGCAGGATCGAATGATCAAATGTAAAAGATCAAAATTCAAATTATTTATTTCATTATTGAAAATTATTAATATCACATTAAATAGAGCTCATTTTTTCAACCATTTTTGTTACAAACTTTTTAAGATCCTCTGCTCTTCTGTGTCCAACCTCCATCACCTTCAAAAATTAATTATCATAAAATGTAAAATTTAAATATAACTTCTACAAAATAAGTATTTAAAGTCTTTTTCTTCCAAAATTAAGTTCAGTTTAGTACCGACATTTCAACCAGAAAGAAATATTTTTCTCTTTTATCCTACCTGTCCCCAAGCTGGCCCCTACAGAAATTAAGAACAGCTTATAGTAACTAATTAACTTCTCAAAATTGCAAGCACCCCACGTTAAACTATAGCATATAAGATTAAAATCTAAGTTTTCAATCATAACAACTTTTATTGAAGAGCATTGGAAACAATAAACATGTTTAGAATTTCAAAAATGTACTCGAATAAATTTGCTTGTGTCATACTTGTGCACAAAATCAAAATTGAGAAACCCCTTAGTCTGAGAAGAGGTTCATGAGGGCCTTCAGTCCGAGAAGAGGTCCCTGAGAGCCCTCTAGCCCGAGGAGAGGCCCTTGAGAACCCCTAGTCTGGGGTGAGGTTCCAGAGAACCCCTCAGTTCGAAGCGAGGTCCAGTTGAGAACCCCTTAGTCTGAGGAGAGGTTCATGAGAGCCCCCGATCCGAGAAGAGGTCCCTGAGAACTCTTCAGTCTGATCGGAGAGGTTCACGAGAGCCCCCGATCCGTTTTCCCCGTCCTAGGAGTGGTCCATAAATGTTTCCCCCCCGGTATAGGAGAGGTCTAGAAAAACCAACCAATCCAATTTACGAATTTTTTTGCAGATTTCTGCAAATTTTCAAATGTCGTCTTTTCAATAAAAATTCCAGAAAATCTACAGAAAATGTTTTTTGAAGAATGAGAGATTTATTGTAGAATTTGTGTTACATTTTTTGTCGTAGTCTCTTTAATAATTTAAAAAAATCGATTCTCAAAACATAACCACTCAAATGGATTTTTTTAAAGTCGACTTTGCACTTAAACTTAGTAATAATACATCATAAAAAAAAATTATATGTCTAAATGAATTCTAAAAATGTTCTCTACAATACTACATTCTCTGTTCAACTACCATACATTGCCGGTCACTCCCTTCAAATACAATAACAAAACAAATTAAACATTTTAGTCAAATGTAGAAATTTAGATCTTTGTTTGCTGTATGGCAGAAAAGTGCAATTTCTCGTTGGCAATTGCACCTTTAATTCAATTAAATTTCCAATTTTTAAATGTTTCTTGTGTGGAAATCATTCGATCGGAAATGTCACGTATTCTATGGAACATTCAAAATTTAACGATGAAACCTAGATGGAGTTGAAATTACTAATTTTTTAATATAATCGCTGTCAACAGTTTTTTCTTCAAAATTTTATGTTTATTTAAAACTTGTTAAATGTGAAACTTTTAAACATATTTTGGAAGATTCCACGAATTTGTACTTAATTTGGCGATTTTAACGTTTTGTATCAAACATACAATGATACAACATGATACAAACCATATTTTGTAATAATAACTAACAGCATGTAAATAACTTTAGGTCGAGACTTACTCAATGATTATTTATTTGAAACCTTATTTTCGTTCCGTAGAACGTGATGGTAAATAGTGTCGATAAAAACCTGATATCGATTGTCATTCTAAGGTGATGCAGGGTGTCATTTATCGCGATGGCGTTAAATGGCTATGTAAAAAAGCAACAAGCACAAAAACAAACAATATAGATGAAAAACGGTGAGAAAGTGAATGAGATAGTATCTATCTCATTTACATATGGTGGTAAGCGATTATAGCAATATAATGAAGACGACTATCGATTTCAAATTTGGTTAATATCTGGCATTTAAAAAGCATTGATACACTAAAACATGGAAACAAAGAGAATCTGTCAATTTTAAAAGCTTCTCTTTAATTGCTTGTAAACTTGTAATTCGAAAAAAGCTTGTTAACAAAAAAAGCTTAGTCAACAATTATTTAGCACACTAGTTTCAGTCACTAGGTATTTACCTCCTCATGATTTGTCTCAATACCAGATCCATACTCAACTATACACATGTTTGTAATCAGACTACAGGCAAAAACCTAGATAACTGATTTAATAAATCTGAAATTTTACCTACAGTGGTAAGCAATTATATCAATAGAATGAAGACGACTTTCGATTTCAATTTTGATTTATATGGTAAGCATGGATACATACTAACATAGCTATAAGTCAAGGGAAGCTGGCAATTAAAAAAATGGAACTACTTAATTTCCAAACTATTTAAAAAAGACTCGTTATCGGAAACATATTTGTAACTGTTTTGAGACAAAACAAATATTAGTATACTAGTTTGTTTTCTTATTTATCTTTTACTTTTGGACATAAAGCAAACGAATGTACCTTTATCCCACAGTGATGAGCTACGATAGTTTCTGGTATTGTGCTCATGCCTAAAATCAAAAGCAACTTTTTATTAAAGAAAAAGAAAAGTAAATTAAAAATCTGTAAGATATTAATGCTATACTAAATTGATAAATAAAACCTATCGTTACCACTACATTAAAATAATTGCAAATAGTAAGTTTGTTAAAATTCTATTCACCAATTTAAAAAGACTTACCAACACTATCTACCCCCATCTCCCTAAGCATCTTGAGTTCTGCCACGGTCTCATAATTAGGACCTCCTAACATTATGTAAACGCCTTCTCTGATCACCCCTTCGAGTCTTAACTCTATTCCAACCTTAGATTTTGAATTCATTGATAATACATATTATTTATGAAATACTAAATACGCTGTTCAATTATCAATTATCAAAGTTAAAACGTTTTTTTTTGTTCTAAATAAATATTATGCGAAAGAAAAGTTTTGGGAATTCTGATGGTTATTCATTTCTCAAAGGCATGTTTTGAAACTTTAGAAACATTAAGATATTTAATGCATTCACCTTTCTAGCTAATTTTCGGTATTCGTGGCAATACAAATCATTTGTAGGAAAAAACCTAGGTCCAAATCTTTCATCGTTAGGACCTCTAAAGTAAAAAAAAACGTTATTCTTTTTAATAAGCTTACAATTTAAAAAAATGCATATATAAGTTTAGTTATATAATGCTTACAGTTAGGTTTTCGTTTTCAAATATTAAATTAAATTGTAGCATCTAAAAGTTAATTGTATATATCTTTAAGTTTTTTTCAAAATTATTTTAGAATTTTCTATTTTCAAAATATAACTTATTTTAATCATTTGACAGTTTGATTCGTTTGATACGTTTTTCCTACTTCCCCAGGAATATCCGTGATTTATTGAAGAGTTGAAATCCTTGGTTCTCCGAGAGAGAAAGTCTTCTTCGTATAAATGTGTTTATTAACTAAATAATATTTAAACACGAAAAACGTTAATTTCTTGCTAATTCCAAAATTAAAAGTTTTTATATTTTATAATATAATGACTGACACATGATGTTATTGAAATATAATAATTTTGGATCTTATTGGACTGTTGTTACTGAAAATACGTTTAAATAGTGTATATGCAAAAGTATCATACCTTTGCGCTGGAATTCCAAGCGATAAATTGGCTTTTTCTCCGGTCATAGATATCTTTGTAAGCTAAGACTAATACCAATGAATAGCAAATAGGCTAATTAGTTTTCAATAAAATTACCCGACTAAGTGAACGGTCCCTTTAGGTTACAATTTTACAACATCTGCTAAATCGGTTAAGGGTTGTATTTAGTGAAATCTACCTAAGTGGGTGCTGGCAAGAGAAACCTGGAAGATTGATGTGATCTTTCATCACCATAATATCCCCAACCTCAATTGTAAACGTTATGTTAATTGTTTAACAAAGTTGAGAAAAGAAAGAAATCAGCATAAAATACATGATCACCATAACATTATCTTCATAATAAAATGATGTAAGTATCGTAAAACCATAACTTTCATAGAAATCAAGAGCATTTTCTAGAAACATTTTGTCTTACATGTCTATTTTTTATCGGATTCACTTACAGCATTTTCAAATCTGACACTATATACAATTGGAATTTCGAACTTATCAAGTCCAAAATAACATTTTATTACTAAATTAGAAAAAAATACTTTTTTGTAAAACATAAATTATTTCAATCAGTTACCTGAAAAGCTTTGTTTAAACCTCCTCCTGCATTTGTAACAATGATCTTTTTAACTCCTAACAACTTCATTACTCGCACTGGCATGGCAGTCTTAAAAAAAGTTGGAAGCATTTTAAAAACCTTTTTTTCAAAATAACACATCTAATAGTACCTTCCAGAGTTCATATCCTTCATATGAGTGGAATCTACCCTGCATTATTACTACAGGGACGTTCTCTAGATTACCAAGAAGCAATCTAGAAATAAACATCATTTTCACTAAATAAAGGATAATGTTTTGCTATTTTCTTTGTACTGCCATGATAAAGAAACTGAGCTTTTGCTCAAGTTTTCTAATTCATATATCTTTGCAACCTGAAAGTGTAAACATTTGATAATTCAAACTTAGACGATTTGATCTAACAGCATTAAAAGTTGTGAATAAAAAAGGTCTTTGACATCAGAGCTGAAAACTTTAGAACGGTGGATATCGGGATTAATGCTTAATCCACTCTTTTTCTTAATATCGAGATTAAATATTGCTTGTTCTCCTCTCAATTTTAATCTCCAGATTAATTATCCGATCAGGATTAAGGATATCCCATTCTAAAGTTTTCAGCTCAGGATTCAAAGATATAGGATTTAGACAATCAGAGTTTGTGGAAAAAACTCAGTTTCTTATACATTTTAACTTTTTTTTACATTATTCCACTACCTGCCAACATGCCCAGGAACTGTGGACACTGGAAAGTTTGGGATTTCTTCATATGGAAATATATCCGCTTTGTTAACAAGCTCTGCCAATCCACCTATATAGGGATCTAAAAAACTTATTGTGTTTTTAGGTGCCTTACAACGCGTTTTCTTAATTGGGGTTATTAAACTGTTAAATTAAAAACAGAGTTCGTCGTTTTGTGTCAGGTTTTTTTTACAATTTTGTTTATGTGTCAAAGGATTTGAGTCTTTGCCACAAACTTAGATTTTCTAATCCCTATATCTTTGCAACCCAATGCCGTCGACCTTAGATATATGGATTAGAAAATTTTAGTGTGTGACAACGACTCAATTTCTTTAACTATACAACACAATATATTCCAGAATCAGAAGGGAGAGAAGTATGTCTTAAGACGCAAGTTATGGCCTTTGATTTTTTTATCACAAACCCTAGTTCTATGTATATTCTCACCAAGACCGGATCCACAGATAATTCCAATTTCAGGACGATAGGTTGTTCTTTTCTTGATGTATTCAGCAGATACACTTACTACATCATACGAGATCCTAACGTATTAACTAAATTAAAAATGCTGCGATAATTTTAAATTTTATAATGAAAATCTGATTCTAAATTTGTATCCTTTGCAATTGCTTTACTTTATAAAACCAGTGTTGGTTAAAATCAATTTATCAAATTACCATAGTATACAGAAGAACCGTTTATAATACAGTGAAACCCTTAATAACGAATACATCGGAAGAATTTATCAAATGTCGTCTTGACAATTTTTCAATGGGTTTTATACTATATTACGTAAATTTCAGTATTTGCGAAAATGAATAAATAGCCATGAATATGCGGGAACAGTTTTAAAGAGTTCCATATAATCATTTAATTAAAAAATTAAATATATGCAACATTCCATTATCAGAAAGTGAAGAATACGACATTTGATGAATTCTTTCTATGTATTCGTTATTAAGGGTTTCACTGTATTTCAAAAATATACTCACGGGTCGTAAAGATTGTTTTCTATGATGGAACTTGTATCTGCCATTTCAGCTTCTAAAAGGTAACGCTGTAATTGTTTCTGGAACTTTGATATAAATATAACGTATATAATTTAAACTTTTTAAAGTTAATTTAACTTCAAAGTGGAGAACCTTTTTAAAACAATTAATATAAATTCATAAAATTTGTATTGATCCATTTATTTTTTAACAGTTTTAAAATAAGATTAGAATGAATTTATAATCTGACCTTTCGCGTGCTTGTGTTACAAAGAACTGAACGCAAGAAAGAACAGGATTTAAATCAATGACTTTAAAAACTTTTAATTTAAGGCTTAGACGCAAACGATATTGCAAAATTATTTTTTTTATTTCTCATCCAAAATGCAAAAAATCATATTTTATCAAAATTTAATACAATTTAAATGATTAAAACATGAAAAACGTGTTTTTTGTTTCCAAACTTTATCAGATATTAAAAGAAAGTTTGGACTACAATATAGCTAACTGGGCACGGTTTAATCTTTTAAAATCTCTCTAAACATTTTGTTCACGGATACTCACGGATACTCTCGTATCTTGTATCCAATAAACGCCAAAACGCGCTGCTGAACCGATCGGGTACAAATTTTGCGTGGGACCTTACGTGACCCCAGGGAAGGTTTATGATCGATCAAAATTTCAAAAATTAGCCTCTAACAAATTTCGATTTCCATTAAATTTTGAAAATCCACAATTTTTTTTATAAAATCCTAAAACTTTTTGTTTTGTTTTACAAAGTATATAAAGAGAAAATGTTCACAATTAAATAGAAGATGGGCGCAAAGCGCCCTGAAAGCCTAGTAACTTATAAACGAAATTGAAATCAAATTAAGAACATAGAGAAATCATGAAGGCTCGTGAAATTCAGTGTAATGTTTTATTAAACTAGGTTTATTCATATTATTCATACATTCATAATTATTATTGCAATTAACCTTATTTGCCTTTAACTTTATGGGTCAAATCTTCACTTCATTCCAGCTTTAAATAGGGAAAATGATATAGAACAAATAGTTGTCATATTAACATATTTGGTGTCCCCTTTACATTTTTACCCATTGCACCTCATTTTGAAGAAAGATGATATGATATTTGGCCCAAACAAATTTGATTACTGCTAAGGGGGTTACAAGCATTAAACTCTCGCCTTGAAAAACAGTTTTTAAACATATGTCACATATTGATAATTGTTTTATAAAATTTACCTTTGACATTCTTACGGCATACTTTTTACTAATTAGGCATTCTTTTAAGCCTTCCCAGCACCTTAACTTGTAATTCTAAAATGTAAAAAAAAAGGCTGGCCTTAAAAAGTTGTCCATGAATATTTGGCTCGGAAGGATAATACGCAATAGAATCTGGAAAAGTCAAGTCCCTCTTTATTTTGGTTTGAAAAAACAGGTTTAGAATTTTCCTTAAAGATCTTTATCTAACACCCAGTCACCTGGATTGGCAGGGTTTTGAATAAAAATGTTTTAAATTTCAAAACAGGATTCTGTTTATTTATTGCAAAACACAGGTCTAAGCATAAGATAAGCAAAGAAACTGAGTATTTGCTACAAACTCAAAATTTCTGATCACTATATCTTTACAGCCCGATGTCGTAGACCTTCAATTTTTCAAACTATAAAGTCTGTTAAGTAAGGTTAAAATATCCAATGTTTACACCATCAGGTTGCATAGATATAAGGATTATAGCATTTGAGTTTGTGGCAAAAACTCATTTCCTTTCAGTCACATCCAAAGATACAATACTTTAAGCCTAAGGTTTTTTAGATGATTTTCTTTGCGTTGTTGATTTCAGAGTTACAACATAATTCAATAGATCCATAATTAATAATTAATGAAAGATTCAAATGCAAGTAACCAACGAATTGATTTGAGCTTTGGCGTGAGTGTTGTTTGTAGTGGTTTTCTACAGTAAAAACCCTTAATAACTAATACATAGAAAGAATTCATGAAATGTCGTATTCTTCACTTTCTGATAATGGAATGTTGCAGATATTTCGTTTTTTAATTAAATGATTATATGGAACTCTTTAAAACTGTTCCCGCATATACATGGATATTTATTTATTTTCGCAAATACTGAAATTTACGTAATATAGTATAAAACTCATTGAAAAATTGTCAAGACGACATTTGATAAATTCTTCCGATGTATTCGTTATTAAGGGTTTCACTGTATCTAAATTCTAATTTTGCTTCCAAGCCAAGTCATTCTAGTTACATGGTATGTCAATATCTAGCTTTTAAGGGTTAAAACAGGTGGCGAACTTTTTTGATGAAAATACACAAAAGATTTTGCAACAAACTAGAATTATTAACCTCTTTATATTTGCACCCGGATTGCGCGAAAATTAGACATTTTGAACTTAGGTTATATAATCCAACAAAGTTTGAAAGATCTTTTGCAAAGATAATTAGATTAGAAAATCAGATTAACTTCCTTTAGCTTGCATCAGTTTTCTTTGATACAATCAGAAAGAAATTTGAGATGTTTTTTTCCTAATTGGAGTTGCGGTGTTAACATCCCCCCCCCTTCCCCCATCCTTATAAACCCCCTAGTGTATTGGTATGGTATACGTCTATATTCTGGAAGTGACAAACATTCTGGACAGAGATAAAAGATACTGACCTAGAAATAATTGAATAGCTTAAACCACTTAGTATTTGACAAAAGAAAATTAGATTTAATCCATCCATGTTCGTATTTATATAAAGTAGTAATCTCTGTTAGTCTAACTTTTTGTATTTCATACAGTGAAACCTTTAATAACGAATACATTGGAAGAATTTATCAAATGTCGTCTTGACAATTTTGAGTTTTTTACTATATTACGTAAATTTCAGTATTTGCGAAAATAAATAAATAGCCATGAATATGCGGGAACAGTTTTAAAGAGTTCCGGCCACATAATCATTTATTTAATAAACTAAATATCTGCAACATTCCATTATCAGAAAGTGAATAATACGACATTTGATGAATTCTTTCGATGTATTTGTTATTAAGGGTTTCACTGTATCATAACTCTCTAACTGGACCGATATACCTTTAAACTTGGGGAACTCTGAAGAAAATACCCGAATGTACTGAGCCTGGTTAAGAATTCTGAGATGAGTGAGAAAACTCAGGCAAAGATGGGTTCTCAAGCTAGTGTGCTAATAAAATTAAGAATAAAGAAGACTTAATAAAATTATTGACACCTTGATCACCAAAATTTAACCGTTTTGATAATTGTCTACTATTTGCTAAATCTATCAACTTATTCTTAACAATATGTATTTAGAAAGGAATTGAGTCTTTGCCACAAACTCTGATTTTCTAAATCCCTATATCTTTGCAACCCAATATTGTAGACCTTAGATATTTCAAACTATGAATTGTTATAGATCAAATAATCTAAGTTTATAATATAAAATGTTTACACAATCAGCTTGCAAAGAAATATGGATTAGAAAATTAGAGTTTGTGTCAAAAACTCAATTCCTTTCTATTTTAATTATATTTTTTCATATTTTTTGTTATCTTGGCTGCTTTGTTATTTGGGTGCTTTGTTTTTGGCCGATTTGTAACAATGGCCTTTTGTTTTTGGGCGGTGTATAATTTTGGGTGTTTTGTTATTGGACTTATTGTTATTGGACATTTTTTTTTTAGGCGTTTTTCCAAAACATGGGAATTCAGTGACGACTTTTATATCGTCTTCGATCCATGCGGCATTTTTTCATAAACACAATACTTGCAGTATTCCAGCTTAAACATCTAATATCGAAAACACCTGGTCTTGAAATTTTCAAAATGTGGTCTACCCTTTTTGTATCTTCAAAATTGACGGAGATATTGCAAAATTTGTACAAATTTCAATTTATTTGATAAATCAAAATTGTCTTATTATCTAATGTCGTCGTTAATTTTTAAGATACAAGACGACTGCGTTCTGATGAGAATGCTGAAAAACATCTCAAATGTCGTCCTAAGCCTATCAGAGATATACATAGTTCAATTTTTACATTCTTTGATAATAAACAACACACTTCCTACGCCCAGGAAAAAATTGAATATTTCATTTTAAATAATTAGTTTTTAAGAAATAACAAATTCTTTCCTTAAACACCTTAAAAGCTTATTTGTATTATTTTCACCTAACCTTTTCCTCTTTTATGAGCTGTATTTTCATTAATTATAGAGCAGATTTTCTATTTAAATGTTTTAATTTTTTATATTTTTGACACAAGCTTTCAAACTCATTTCGTTGCAAAAACAGGAAGTTATCTAATCTATATATATACTTTGCTTGTCTGTCTGTTTGTTTGTATCCAATAAACGTCAAAACAGCAAAACCGATCCGGTCCATTTTTTTGTAGGACCTCACATGTACGTCCAGCAATTAACTTTCAAGTCGGTGGTAAGTGTTAAAGGGAGTGACCGGCTATGTAAGGTAGTTGAACTGAGTATGCAGTGTTGTGGAAAACTTCTTTCATTTCATTTAAAGATCAGTAAATCCTGAGTTTGAGCGCAAATTCGACGTTCAAAACTCCTACTTTGGGGGTGGATACATTTTCAGAATTAGTTTTTTTAATTATTTAATAACGACAACGAAAAATAAAGTAAAAATTATACAGTAATCTAATTAGATGGTTAGGAACATATTTTTCAAAATAAATTTGTCAATAAACCAATGCTAAAATCGATTATTTCGTTTTAGTATTATATTGAATTTCTTAGTAAAACCGAGTCTCTTTTTCTCAGTAAAACCGAGTCTCTATAATTAAAATGTCGTAATGAATAAATCTCTATCGATATTATTCATCCCTAAAATTATGAGGACTCCGGTTTAAAATCTGAATCTTTCTTCATACCCTGAATCTTCTCTCACAATAAACTAATGATCTTTTTTTTTGAGTTTTTGCCACAAACTCCAATTTTCTAATCTCTATTAATTCATTTGATATTTTAAACATAGACTATATTTGATCTAACAGAATTCATAGTTTGAAATATTAAAGGTCTAAGATAAAAGATATAGTGATTAGAAAATCAGAGTTTGTGGCAAATACTCAATTCTTTTTGATCATATTTTTTGTAAATCTGGAACCAAATACTCTTAAAATTTGATTCCCCGCCCTTAGTATTATGATTACACTACGCGGTAACTCATGGCATGGGGTGGTTCAATTCCTTTTTTGGGGTTGGGGGGCAAGCAAGCAAATTTAAAACCTACCAGAAAGTGGATTCGTGACCACATAAGTAAATCAAGAAGTGATCCAAATATGATTGAATTTA